GGCTGCAGTGGCTGTGAGCGTGCCACTGCACTCCAGCCTGGGCCACAGAGTGAATCCCCGACTCAAAAGAAAAAAAAGAAAGGAAAGCAAGTCCCAGAATCCACCTCATCAAAGTTGTACTTTCTGGATTTTTCTTTAAAAAAAATTAAGTCGGCCGGGCGTGGTAGCTGATAGCCTGCACAACTAGGCAAGACCTCGTCTCTACGATACTAGCCGGATGTGGTGGTGCATGCCTGTGGTTCCAGCTACTTGGAAGGCTGAGGCGGGAGGACCGCTTAAGCCCGAGGTCGACGCAGCGGTGAGCCACGACTGGCCGCTGCGCTCCAGCCCGGGCAACGAGGGGAGACCCCGACTCAAATTAAAAACAAAAATAGGATGGGGTATCAGGGGGGTAAGAAAAAAAGCGGGGGAAGGGCAACCCGTTCGGGTCCCCTCCCACTGTGAGAGCTTTTCTGTCCTCTCAATTAATCCTGCATTAAAAAAAAAAAAAGCCGGGCTCAGTGGCTCAGCCTGTCATCCCGCGCCTTTGGGAGGCTGAGGTGAGTGGATTGCGTGAGCCCGCGGGTTCGAGACCCGCCTGGGCAGCGAGACCTCATCTCTACAACAAATCAAAAATCAGCCGGGCGTGGTAGCGCGTGCCTGTAATTCCGGCTACTTGGAAGGCTGAGGCGGAAGGATTGTCGGAGCCCAGCAGGTCGAGGCTGTGCGCCACTGCACTCCAATCTGGGTGACGGAGTGAGACTCCAACTCCAAGATTAATAAATAAATAAATAAGCCGGGCTCGGTGGCTCAGCCTATAATCCCGTACCTTGGGAGGCTGAGGTGAGGGGATTGCCTGAGCCCGCGGGTTCGGGACCCGCCTGGGCAGTGAGACCTCATCTCTACAATCAATCAAAAAATCAGCCGGGCGAGATAGCACGAGCCTGTAGTTCCAGCTACTCGGAAGGCGGAGGCGGAAGGATCGCCGGAGCCCAGCAGGTCGAGGCTGCGGGGGCCGGGAGCGGCCACT